GGTTTGGAGCTGTCAGTGCTCCCCTGCAGCAGGGGTTGTGCAAGGGCGGGTGTGAGCACTCGCCCCTGCACTTGCATATCAGGTGTAGACAAAAAAGCAGCACCCAATAATTACCAGAGCCTTGCTGGCCCCTTCCTGCCACTGTGCACCGGGACTGCTCAGACCAAACTCTTGGGGGGCACTTAGGGTTGAAGGAGCCCCCCCCCTGTGTCCCCAGCACGACTCATGCCACCCTGCACCCTCCCAGGAAGGCTGCCTGGGCTCAGGTGACCGTGCCACCTGGTCCCTGGCCCTCCCTTTGCAAGCCCTTGCTCAGCCTCTTGCAGCACTTCTTGGGGCAGGCAACGGACTGAACCTGCTTCTGCAAGGGTGGTGTTGGCCCTGGGCATGTACTGGAGGGAGTTGTCATAGACCTCTGCCCTAAATCCCTGGGCATCCAGACTAATTTCCCAACTGCCTGCAGCCCACAAGGGCCGGTGCTGCTGGGCAAGATGCTGCTCCTGGCTTTCCCTTCCCTCCCAGGGGCTGGCTGGTGGCTCAATGCCAAGGACACAGCCCAGGGTGGGCTGGATATGTCCCCCAGCCCTTTGGGACAGAAGGTGGTCATTCTTCCCCACCCTGTGCTGGTGGCACTGAGGGGACATTGCTCCAGGGACTGATTTCTCCTTTTCACAATGGACTCCCTGAGCCCCTTTCCCAGCTTTCCTCCTTGTCCCCAGGCTTGGATGCCAGGCTTGGGGACACCCCTGTGACCCTATCTCACCAGGCAGGGTTTGGGGTGGTGCCTCAGAGTATCAGTTGCTCCTTATTGCTGGTTTGACTTGCAGCTCCTGGCCTAGGCACGTGCCCTGCCCTTCCCACCTGCCCGTGTGCTGTGGGAGGCTGCAAGGGACTGGGTCCTGTGTCACAGCTCAGCTCCATTCCCAAGAGCCACCCACATCCCTGCTCTGGAGAACCAGTTCCTGCTCCCAGGGGGATAGAAATGACAACCTCAGGCCCTTGTGGGTGAAAAGCCTCTTCATCCAACTTATCCCAGCTGGGGTTGGGAATGGGGACCCTGCTCTGCCGTGTCCCAAAGCCCTTGGGAGGGGGGATGTGCTGATGGGGGTGTCTGTCTGCCTTGCAGGGGCCGGCGGGCCTGGTGCTCCTGGCTGCGTGCCCTCCTCCTGGGGCTGCTCCTCAGCTACACCTCCGTGCCCATCCTCGTCCGCCTCTTCCCTGCCCTGATCTCCAAATTTGTCTTCCTGAACTTCTGTGAGTACCATGGGATGGTCCCAACTGGGGGACTGCTCCTCTCCAGGGATTCAGGGGGTTGGGGAAGGAGACCACCCCTCCCCCCTTCTCCAGGGATTCGGGGGGCTGGGGGAGGGTCCCCAAAACACGTGTGAGGTTGCACCCTCTCCTTGCCCTGGGCTTGCAGTGGGGGCTTGGAGGGACCTTTCCCCTTGGTGCCTGGGGTTTTGCAAGCTGTAATGGCGCGGGGCTGCCGACCCTGTTTACTGCTGAAGGTTGCAACACATCTGGGCACACGCAGCATCGACAGGGCTGGAAATCGGGGTTGGGAGGAGGTGGCAGAGGGCTGTGCTCGCCTACCCATCCCTGGGCTGGCTGGAGCACTCCCCTTGGCTTCCACACAAACTGTTTCAAGAAAAAAAAACAACAAAACAACACAACACGTTGCTTCAGAAAAAAAAAAATATTGCAAAACCAAACCCCAAAACAACCAGCCCCCCCCCCCACCCAAGCTGGGCGTGAGGGTTGATGTGATTTCTCCCTCAGTGACATTTCCCTTCCTCGCGGACCTGCGGCGGCCGGAGCTGCTGGGGCAAAAAACCGTCAACCCTGACCC